GACAGACAGACAGACCCGGCCCGCTGCACCCCGCGCGAGGCCAGCGGGCTTAGGGCGCGGAGGACCCATCCCCGCAGGGCCCATCCCCGCGGGGTGACCTTGACATCCCCAGTCCCATTCAGCATGCCGGCCGCGGCAGGTCACCAGGGAAGAAGGCCCACCGTGCTCAGCTACTCTTCTAAAAATGCAAAAAAATCTACACCATAAAAATGTACTCACGGGCTAGCATCTTTTTTCCAGATGAAGAGCCAGATGGGGTGGCACATGCCTGTAATCCCAGCACTCAGGAGGCTGAGGCAGGAGGATCACTATGAGTTCGATGCCAGCCTGAGCTACATAGCCAGACCCTGTCACCTCCCTGCCCCCAAAAAAGAAAAGAAGGGGGACTGTGACAGAGTAAAGAGAATAAATAACTCCAGTCTGTGAGACCAAGCTGGTGGGCCCCAGGGGCAGGGGAAGTGGATGGGGCTGGTGTCTGGTGTGGGCCTCCAGGCTGTGCCTTCCTGCCCTGCTTCCCCACTGATGTGTGGAGCTGTAAGTTCCACAGGGTCACATTTGACAGAGGGCAGGACAGTGGAGCTCTGCTGTTGTTCTTTTTAAAAATCCAATACTGTTTTGAGTTGCTGGACCTTGGTGGGGGTCGGGGGGCACCTCACTCTGTTTCTTGCGTCTCTGGTTGTGTCACTCCTTCCCCTCCTGGTGCCTGGACCCGAGTCCTCGTTCCTCCAGGAGGAGACCCAGGCTCCCAGGAGCTGGGAGCTCAGACGTCACACAGGCCCGGGTCAGAGCTGAGGGCGGGCACATCTGCCGTGCCTCCCGGGGCACGGTGCCAGGGCCACAGCATCAGAAGAAATGAGAGCTACACCGGCTCAGCCTCCAGCCACACAGGGACGCGCCCACATGGACCCCAGGAGTGGAGCCCCAGCACCCCGGAGCCCAGGGAGGGGCTGGCTCTCAGGGGAGCAGGGACCGTGGGCCTGAAGGTGGCTCCTCTCAGCAAGGCGGGCACTCCAGGGCAGCCCTGTCTCCAATGTACCGGAGTCAGGACAGGGACCCTGAGGCCACCGGGGGGGACATTGGCTGAGGGCACTGATGTGATCAGTGGCACACGGCTGGGTCCTGTCCCGGGTCTTATCCTAGGGCAGTGGTGGTGAGCCTCTGGCACGCAGTGTCCTCTCTGTCGGCGTGCCAGCCAAGTCGCCCCAGCATTGCCCCAGCAGCTGAGCATCGGATAGCAGCACACACAGGGGTGGTGCTGGCACTTTGTGATACATAAGCGGGCTTTGGGTTGCGTGGTGCTAGGCCTCTGAGGGGTTAGCCTTCACTGTCCTAGGCGGCCTGTCCAGGGGAGCCGATCCTGGGGCAGAGCTCAAGCAAGGAGCCAGCCCTCTGCTCCTACGGGGCGCGCGGTGGTCACCCCAGGTCCTTCCTGAGGTTGTGTCTGTTTACCGTCGGGGACCTGACTGAGGGAGGGGGTAAGCATGGGACAGGAGAACCCAGGGGCTGGAAGGCCAAGGTTGAGTCAGGTGGGGGACCCCAGTGAGAGCCCCTCCAGGGAGCCCTGGGGGCCCCTCCCACACCTCCTTCAGCCCATGGGTGTGTGAGAACCGCCCAGCTCCCAGCCAGGCCGGGCGCTGTCTCCACTGCTGCCTTCTCTGCCCGAGACAGCTGCCTGGGCCCTCTCCCGGCCTGGCACGGGGGAGGCTGACCGGATGAGCAGGCGGAGCTGTCCCCATCCTACACAGCCCAGCTCGGGTCGGGAAGACGTCGCGGGGCAGCGGGGACCGGGCGAGCCCGTGGCCTCCTGTAACACACTCAGCAACGCTCCTGCTGTGTGCAGCCCTGAACCCGCGCGTGCACACACACTCACCCTTCTCCCTAGGACCTCCCAGGCCCGTCTATTGCACCCCGAGAGGAGACGAGTGACAGGAAGGGGCTCCTGGGGTCCCAAGAGTGTTCACCACAAGCCACCAGGACGAGGTGGCCAGGGAAGGGTCCCTGTCCGGGGGAGAGGGCCAGGCCGAAGCAGGACGATGCTCTCTGGGCTGGCAGGCCAAGTGAACAGGTGTCTACAGCGTCTGCCACACTCAGCCCGGGAGGGACACGTACCTGAGAGCTGGCCTGGGACCTGGGGCACCCATGTCCATGCGGCCAGGGCTTGATCAGTGGTCAGTGTCCAGGAGGCTGGGTGGGAGGCGATGTCCCCACGGTGCTCCTCTGAGGTGAGCACACGCCCGCGGCCCGTGTGGATGGCTCCAGGCCTCTCCCAGCTGCCTGTCTCCGCTGACAGCAAGGCCCTGCAGACAGGCCTGGGGCAGAGCAAGGCAGAGGGTGGTTGGAGACGGCTTTTCTGCCCGCTCTCCAGGGAGCGTCCTCGTCCCGATGCCACAGCTGGCACGGTGCAAGAGCCTGTGCCACTCACAGGACTGGGCCACCTGGGCCTGGTGGGTGGGGGTAGTTTCTGCCTCCCACCACCTGTGACCCAGCTGCTGTGTGTGGACCCGGGTGACCCGGGCGGCCCTGGCATGGCACCTATCCCCACCTAAACCTGTTCGTCCTCCTCCCAAGAGCTGCAAGTAGAGGGACAGCTCCAGCGAGGCCAGCAGCCCACAGCCAGAGCCCACTCTGCCCAGCACCCATGTCCCCAGCCTACCTCTCCCACCTGTCACTCCCCTGCACATCTGGGGCACAGCTGTCCTCTGGTGGATTATGGGTTGGCAGCAGTGACCTTGACCCTAGGACGCTACCTTCTGTCCTTCTTGTCTCTGAGCATGGCTCTTATTAAAGATAAAAAGCAGATGCTCATAGAGGGTAGTGAAGCTGCCAGGTGTGGTGGTGCACACATGTAATCCCAGCACTCGGGTGGCTGAGGCAGGAGGATCGTTGCAAATTCGAGACCAGCCTGGGCTACAAAGTGAGCTCAAGGCCAGCCTGAACTGCATAGTGAGACCCTGTCTCAAAAAGACCAAAAAAACCCCAAACAAACAAACAATAGAAGGTAGCAAGGCAGACTAAATTCAGGGGACTGCTCCAACGGGTTTTTAAAAAATAAATGATGGGTAAGAGGAAGCAGGGAGAGAGATCTCTCTTAAATGGAAAGAGGGTCAAGTGACGGAGGGAAAGGGGATGAAAAAGGAAAGAAGATGTGTTATTTCCGCGTAACCGACTCCACACCAGGAGTGCAGACATGAGCTGCAGATGTGGACTCTAAGAAATAATTGTTATTGTTATTATTGTGATGTTACAGGACACTTACAGTGATTCTAGCAGTGAAGCAAGCGCATTACCACATCTATCATCTCACCTAGAGTTTTTTTTGTGTGTGTGCATGTGTGTGATATCACAGCAGCTAAAGTCTGCTTATTTAACAAAATCCCTAGTATGTTCTTCACCAGCCCTTGGGTGGTACCCTAGAACTCAGGGCGTGTTTTTCCTACCTGCTACTTTGTATCTTTGACCTACATCTGATTTCCGCCCCCTGCCCCCGCACGTGGTAACCAGTTTCCTTTTCTTATCTCCATGGATTTGTGCTTTTAAAAACTGAATGTCCTCCACATAGCAGCAGTATCGTGTGCTAGTTTTGTTTCTGTGGCACAATGCCCCTGGGTCCCTCCACGCTGTGGCCAGTGGCAAGGGCTTTTATAAGGCTGAATAATTCAGGACACGTACACATATGTATGGACGGAGGGATGACTATAATGGTGTGTCTATCACATTTTTTTCATCTGTTTGTCCATCAGGGGACGTTTATGTTGTTTCTGTATCTTTGCCACTGTGAATAATTCTGCAATGAACTCAGGAACGCAGATATCTTGAAGAGGCGATGATTCATCTCCTTTGGGTGTATATCCAGGAAAAGCGTTGCTGGCTCAAGGGGCAGGTTTGTTTTGACCTTGTAAGGAACCCCCCGGCTGTTTTCGGTAACAGCTGCATCAAATCCACACCCCGGCAGCGGTACACCAGGGTTCCCTTTTCTCCTTGCCCCACCCACGTTTATCTCTTGTTTTTTTGATAATAGCCATCCTTTGGGTGTGAAGTGATGTGCTTGCTTTAATTTACATTTCCTGAATGGTTAGTGCTGGTGAGCAGCTTTGACAGCACTTATTGGGCATTTTTAATGTCTTCTTTGAAGAAATGTCTTTTCAATCCACTTGTCAATTTTAAATGGGTTATTTATTTATTTTGCTGTTGAATCACCCGAGTTCTCCATACATTTTGCATATTAATCCATTATCAGGTAGGTAGTCTGCAATTACAATCTCCCAGTGGGCTGGCGGTCTTTTCCGCCTGCTGGTTCTTCCCTTTGCTGTGCAGCAGACTTTTAGTCTCATTTTCTCTCATTTGTTGGTATATTTGCTTGTCTTTGTCGCCTGAGCTTTGGTGTGAAATTATTGCCAAGTCCGACATCAAGGAGCTTCTCCCAAATGTTCTTCCCTAGAAGTTTTACAGTGTAAGGTCTCTTATCTATTTAGCTCTTTTTTCCATTTTGAGTTGATCTTTGCGTATGGTGTACAAAAGAGTTCAATTTTATTATTTTACACAAGGAAATCCAGTTTTCCCAACACCCTTTATGGAAGAGGGCATTCTTCCCCCTTCGTGTCTTCATGGTGCCCTACAAGGGGCTGATGATGGGGGCAGGGCTTGGGCTCCAGGTACCAGGATGAGTAGAAATTCATAGGCCGGGAACAAGGGTGGGGTCAGGGGCTGGAAACATGGAGGGGAGGGAGTCCCTGCTAGATTTGCCAAGGAGATATTTGCCAAAGGTAGGCCAGGGAGATAAGCTATTGAGAGCTAGGGATGAGAAATTTGATCAGACGTCAAGGCTGGGATGTCTTGGAGAAGCCTGACTTAGCAAGGTTCTTGCTAAGCTGCGCTAAGTGGGCTAAGGACGGAGCTCAGTGGCAGGGACTCCTCAGAACGATGACTCCGGGAATCCTGACTCAGGGTGGTTCAGGGCAGAGCGCCTGCATCAGGCCCCCTCCAAACAGAGCGATCTGTCTTTCCTTTGAGCAGTGGGAGCCCTTGCTCAGCTTGTGGACAGCTACTGGACGGGGTGGCCGGTCTCCGAATGTTAGGCTGGAGGTATCACTAGGCAGTGGAAGGAGGGAAAAGCTGCGGGCCAGCGGATTCCCTGGTTTCAGTCAGAGCCTTTGGGTGTTCTGATGAGTTCCTGGGTGGTCCTTACATTAGCAGTCGCAAAAGACCTCTGGTGGAGATTAAAGTTTAAATCGGGTCATACAGTTTCAGCTTTCAGTGCTTCAGGCAAAGGACGGCTTTGGTTCTCTCGGAATCCAACTCAGGAGGGTGGGAGAAAAATAGAAAGTGGTTTGGAGAGCAGCAGCTAGATGCTGAAGGATGCTGCCTGAACTGAGGACAGGGCAGCGAAGCTGGGCTTTGTGGTGCATGTCTATAATCCCAGCATTTGGAAGGCTGAGGCAGGAGGACTTCAAGCTCAAGGCCAGCCTGTACTATGTAGTGAGAACCTGTCTCAAAATCATGAGGGAGAGCTACAGTTTTCCTTTGAAATATACCATTTTTTCCTATAGTCCCCCTCTTTTTTTGATTAATGATAACCAAAGAGAGGGGATTCTTCTTTTCTTTTTCTTTTTTTTTTTCCTTTTTTCTGGTACCAGGAATCGAACTCACGACCTCAAACTTGCCGGGCAGGCACTGTGTCACTAAGCTAAATTCCTAGCCCAGAGAGGGGACTCTTACTTATATAACATATCTACTCGCGTGACAGTTGGTTTGATTTTGCTCATAAGAGTGGTAAGACTGATCACTGACCATGTAGGCTTTCAAGTCAGCCTTGCTAGAACTTCTCATAAGAAGTCTTGAATTAGATTTTTCAAAGCCTCTTCAGGCTGAGACACCAAGCCCAGAGTCCATCACCAGATTTCCCCTGTAGAATCTACAGATTTTAGTGCATCTTTTCTTCTCAAACCTTCCCATGTTGTAGGGATAGCTGCCTGCTGGGAAGTGAACTTAACACCCCAGAAGCTGGCAGCTATGGGAACCGGACCCAGGCTGCCTTCCTGGGAGGGCTTTGCCTCAACTCCATAATCTGCCTGCTTAAGTCTGATCTCACCCATTATTCTCAAATACGCTGTTCCTTTCAGTGCTGCGGTACTATAACAAACACTCCCAATTGGTCCTCTGTAAAGAGGACAGACTCTTACTGGACTTGTGTGAATAACTATATTGTCAGTAAAATAAGCTACTCAATAAGAGTTCCTGAATTATGGAGGTATCAGGGAGGAGGAAAAGGCAAGTGTTTCATTTTCACCTGCAAACACTTTCAAGAAAGCATCAGCGTACAACAGAAACTACTGCAGTGACCAAAAAATGGCTCAGCTGGCCAGGATTACAGGTCTGTTGAGAGAGAACTTATAATAGCACAACTAACAGGGAGGTATGGTTGTTTCTGAGACGAAAATAATGACCTAAGAGATCCTTGATAACGTGGTGGAAGGATCTGTTGTGAATAACCGTGCTGTCAACAAACCTATGAACTGTACACATCTTCTGAAAGGCTAATGTCAGTGATATTTACCCACGCAGATATAATCTAGGGAAGTTTAAGTGTCTTGGTTTTCTGTTTTTGTGGTACTGGGGCTTGAACCCAAGGCCTTCATACCGAGCTTCATTCCCAGCCCTGTGTAAATCTTTCTGTGAGACAGGGTCTTGCTGAGTTGCTAAATGGCCCAGGCTGGGCTCAAACGTGTGACTCTTGTCTCAGCCTCCCAGAGTGTGGAGCTTGCAGGCATGGGCCGTCACACCTGGCTCCTGAGTATTTCTTTGTGCGTGTTAAATTTTATCAAATGGACTGAGCCATGGGGTGCCCAGATTAAGCTTTATTTCTGCACGTGTCTGTGATGATGGATGCTGATGAGATGAGCCTTTGAGTTAGGACTTTTTTTTTTTTTGGTTTTTCTCCGGTACTGGGAACCGAACTCACAACCTTGCGCTCGCCAGGCAGGCGCTTTGCCTCTGAGCTAAATCCCCAGCCCGAGATGAGCCTTTGAGTTGGGGGTTGATAAGGTAGATCGGCCCCACGCCCGAGTGGGCACTGTAGAGTCTGCTGAGGTTTGTGTTGGCACCGCTGGTCCCACACAATGGGAGCCTGAGGGCATGCTTGCGGTCTTCCTCCCCGCACATCCAGGCTGCCCACTCTCCTGTGCCTTGGGGCCCATTACCATGAGCGTGCACCCGCAGAGCCCCTGTGCAGGGCTGCAGGTTGGCTTCCCCTCCGAAGCCCCTGTGGGCTCCTTCTCAGGGCGGGTAGGCTGGGAGGAGACCAAGGAGGAGGGAGAAGCTGACTCCCCTCTGCAGCAGGGCTCTGCAGGTGACTTCCTGTCCCTCCCCTGAGAGTGCCCTGCCAGGCTGCCCTCCTTAGCTGCCCT